AATCCAAATCAAATGGGGAAATAAAAATTAGTAAATAAAAAGTAAATAAAAAGTAACTAAAAAGTAACTGAAAAGTAAGTTAAAGTAACTAAAAATTAATTTAAAAGTAACTAAAAAGTAACTGAAAGAAAGTAAATATAAAGTAAATAAAAAATTACTCAAAGAAAGTAAATGCAAACTAAATAGAAAGTTACAAAAAGAGTAAAGATGAAGAGTGGGCTTTCGTGGCGTAGTGGTTAGAGCGTTAGTCTGGTAGTCCGAGGGCGTAGGTTCGAATCCCCGCGTGAGTTAGATTTTATTTATTTCGCAGATTTGCGTTTATTTCAATTTTTCTGAACTGTATATGTTTCAATATGAAATTTAAAAACTATATATTTCATTAAACAATAAAAAATAATTTAATTAACGAGTAAATATGAAGTAAAACAAAAATTGAAAAAAAAATATTAAAATAAACAAGAATTAAAATGAAAGTAAATAAAAATAAATAGAATGTAAGTAAAAAGTAAAGAAAAATATAGAAAAAGTAAATAAGAATAAACAGAAAGTAAGTAAACCGTGAGAAAAAAATACGAAAAGGAAGTAAAAATAAATAGAGAGTAAATAAAACGTAAGTAAAAATAAAAAAAGTAAATAAAAGTAGAGAGTAAATAAAACGTAAGCAAGGATAAACGAAAAGTAAATAAATTGCATGTAAAAATTAACAAACAGTAAATAAAACGTATAAGTCAAAATTAACAAAAAGTAAATAAAAATTAAGAAGTAAACAGAAACTAAATAAAATAAAACGGGAGTAAATAAAACAAAAAGTAAATAAAACCTATAAGTAAAAATTAACAAAAAGTTAATAAAAATAAACAAGAAGTAAACAAAACGGAAATAAAAATATACAAGAAGTAAATAAAAATAAATTAAAGTAAACTGAATGTTAATAAAACGTAAGTAAAAAATAACAAAAGAATTAAAAAAAAGGAAATAAAAATATACAAGAAGTAAATAAAAAGTAAATAAAAATAAACAGAGAATAAATAAAACGTAAGTAAAAATAAACAAAAAGTAAATAAAAATAAAAGAAAATGTACAAAAAAATCTTAAATCACAATTGAAATAATAAATTTCGAAAATTTATATGCAAAATTCTAAACCTACAACACATAAAACGTATAATTCTCCTGAGAATATCAATTTTCTCCTAGATATACAAATACGAGACAAAAAGGCGCAATTCAACAATCTTGAATTCCCTCTCCCTCCCCCTTCCCTGTGAAAAGTGTATAGAAAAAAAAAAAGAATTTTTGCCACGCCAAGTAGAATGATTCTCGCGTCCTTCGACGAGTCAGCAACGACGTGGACGTTCTTCGGTCGCGGATCCTTCTCCGCGGTTCAGTGTCCTGTCCAAGGACTTCGCTTCGAAGGCTTCCTCCACACACATACACACAGACAGAAACACACTCCTCTCTGTGTTCAACTTTGCAATGAGAAATCCCTCCCACAATTTTCTCAAACCACACTCGAATTACCTACGGAAGGAAGAAAAATATTATGTATCACACTGCGGGCAAACGGGGGCATCACGAATCGACAATATTTTTTTTTTCTTTTCTTTTTTCTTTTGGCATATTGTACATTATATTGTATTTCGCTGTAGACAATAATTGTGCGAGAGAGGTTCGACGAACTTCCATCGTGTATTATGAGACATTGACGTTTGTTAAATTTATTTTGCAAACTCTAAAGGGGGGAAATTTATTCATGTGTGCGTCATATGGCACGCGCTAATAGTGCGCATGTTTGTTTTGCGGAATGAGTGCGAAGGAAAAATAGTTTTCTACTTGTCGAGGTAGGTGAGGGCCTAACCAGTTTTCCTAGTTTCTGATTAGGCGCATCATTGAATTATTTTTTTTTATTGAAAATCTAGAATTTTTTTTTCCTTTCGCTCTTTTCTTTTTCTTCTTCTTTCGTTTTTTACTCTCTTTTCTCCTTTTTTTCCCTCGTAAAGGGAGTGAAAGAAAAAAAGGAGAGGAAAGAAGAAAAAAAGAAAAAAGGGAGAGAAAAGAGAGTGAAAGAAGAAAAGAGGAGAAATAGAGCGAAAGAAGGGAAAGAAACGAATTTAAATATTTATAAAAATAAATGTTTGCGAAGAATTTTATAAAAATTTTTGAATAATTGATTTATTTTGACTAATTTTATGCAAATTCTAATTCCAATAATTGAATTCCTGTGAAATTTTTATTATTCATGAAAATAAGAATTGAATTCTTACGAAGATTTTAAGAAAAGTTTTTTAAATAATTGAATTCTGTTTGGAAACTTTATGAAAATAGTAGATATTGAAAATCATTGAATTGCGCAAAGTTTTTAAAAATAATTAAATTTTACAAAGAATTTTATTAAAATTTTTGACAATAATTGAATATCTGTGTGGTATTTTATTAAATTTTTTTGAAAATAATAATTGAATTCCTAAAAAGCATTTTATTATTTATGTAAAATAATTGAATTTTTTAGCAACGATTTTATTAAAAATTTTTTAAAATAATTGAATTTTCAAGAAGAAATTTATTACTTTTAAAAATAATTGAATTCTTCTGATGAATATTGTTATTTGTGAAAATAATTGAATTTTGCAAAGAATTTTATTAAAATGCCTCAAAATAATTGAATTTTCGGGAATAATTTTGTTATTTATCGACATAACAGATTTCGTTTGAAGAATTATTTTTGTAAATAATTGAATTCTTGGGAAGAATTTTATTAAAATGTAAAAGAATAATTGTATTATTTCAAAAAAAATTAATGAAAATTGTATTTTTAAAATAATTGAAATCTTTCGAATAATTTTATTAAAATATTTGAAAGTAATTGAATTCCTGTGAAAAATTGTATTATTTTTGTAAATAATTGAATTCTTCCAAGGAATTAAAAAAAATACATTTTTTTAAATAATCGATTTATTCGAGGAATTGAAATCAAGTTTTTAAGAATAATTACATTTTTTGAGAAATTCCTGTAAAATTGTATTAAAAATAATTAAAATCCTGCGATAAATTTTATTATTTATGAAAATAATTGAATAGTTGCTAAGAATTTTATCAAAAATTTTCAAAAATAATTAAATTCCTCAGAAGAATTTTATTATTTATGAAAATAATTGAATTATTGCGAAAAATTTTATTAAAATAATTAAAAAGAATTGAATTTCTTTGAAAAATTTTGTTATTTTTGGAAATAATTGAATTCTTCACAAGAATTTTATAAACATTGTTTTAAATAATTAATTTTTTTGAAATATAATAAATATTATGAAAACTTTATATTTTAAATAATTAAATTCTTGTGGAAAACTTTATTTGTGAAAATAATTGAATTTTTCGATTCAACTAGAAAAATAGTATTAAAAATAATTGAAATTCTTTGGCGAGTTTTATTATTTATGAGAATAATTTAATTCTTGCTTACAATTTTATCAAAAAAATTTTTAATTTTGGTATTTTCAAGGACTCAAATTTCAAAAAAATTTTTAAAAAATTGAATTTTCATGAAAATTGTTATTATTAGTGAAAGTAATTGAATTATTGTGAAGAAGTGCATCAAAAATTTGTTAAATAATTGATTTTTTCGAAATTTTTTTTAAAAATGCAAAAATTAATTGAATTCCTGTGGAAATTTTATTATTTTTTTAAATAATTGAATTCTTTTGCGAAAATTTATTTAAATACTAGATATTAAAAAGAATTGAACTTCGAACATTTTTTTGAAAATAATTGAATCTTCTAAAGAATTTGATTATAATTTTTGAGAATAGTGTTTTGATTTCTAGTATTAGCGAATTTAAAGCAGTGGAAATTCTCAAAAAAAGAACAGAAATAGTAGCTGTTAGTGGCTAAAATTTAAAAAAAGTACAAAAAAAAGTAGTAAATAGTAGGTTTTAGTTGATAAGTGCGAAGCCTGATGCTAAAGAAAAAAAGGGGAGAAAAGAGAGCGAAAGAAGAAAAGGAGAAAAAAAGGGTGAAGAAAAGAGAGTGAAAGAAGGAATGAAGAAGAAAAGGAGGGAAAAGAGAGCAAAAGAAGAAAAAGGGAGAAAAGAGAGCGAAAGAAGAAATGGAGAAAAAAAGGGGGGAAGAAAAGAGAGTGAAAGAAGAAAAGGAGGGAAAATAGAGCAAAAGAAGAACAGAGGAGAAAAGAGAGCGAAAGAAGAGAGAAAGGAAAGAGGAAAAGGAGAGAAAAGGGAGCGACAGAAGAAAAAAAGAGGAAAAGAAGAGAAAAGGGAACGACAGTATAAAAAAAGAGGAAAAGGAGAGAAAAGAGAGCGAAGGAAGAGAAAAGGAGGGAATAGAGAGCGAAAGAAGGAAAAGAAGAGAAAAGTGAGCGAAATAAAGAGGAAGAAGAAAAGAAGTTTCGAAGCGAAAGAAAGAGGAAGGATGAGTAAGTAAAAAAAGAAGAAGAATGGAGAGAAACAGCGCGTCTTGAGTTTTGCGAAAGAAGAGAGAAAGAATGAGAGAGAGAGAGAGAAAGAGAGAGAAGGGAAGGAGTGAGGAGGGAGAGCCGAGGTTGGCGCGAGCGAGAGGGCACATGGCCTTGGCCGCCGCTGCGGGGTAATTCAGTCAAGGTTTCGGCCGATGAACTTCCTTCGTTGGGAGGAAGGAGACTTAGCCAACTGGTGGGAGAGACTGGGGTCCAATGGTGACGGCCCTCGGTCCAACGAGCTCGATTCCGATTGGCCCCGAGGACGATCGGCATTGTACTGGGCCCTACTCGCTTGTCAGTGACCTCCAACATTGAAAATACGATGAACTCGCCTCGTCTGCGTCCCTCTCTCTCTCAGGCACGTTTCTTTTCTCTCTCAGTCTACTACATACTAGGTAGCCAGGGCGTAGAGATATTGTAGACGGGCAGAGGCTCAAAGCACTCGACTAAACTCCCCTCCACTTGCACTTTGGTTGTGAGTAAGGGCTGCACCACGGCTCCAGGTAACCAACACTCGACAGCGCCAAACTCAAGTCAGACCAACGCGAACCTCCCTCGAGCGAAGACTCACTTTCACTCTCTATCAAACGAACGAACGCGTGTGTGCTCAATAGCAAAACGATTAGAATTAGAAGGATATTTTTTTGCTAATTTTTCAAATAATCGAGAATAATCGAAATACTTGAATTGAAATACTCGAATGAAAAGTGAAGTGGAGTGTGGCAAGTGTGTTTAAATGTCGTTATGCATGTGGACTACGTGCAGTGTTGTCGTGCTTTGTGCATACGATAATCTTTGGGATTATTTTTTAAAACAGTTGTCGGCATTCTTGTAATTTGGATTAATTTGCGGTTCATGAGAAGAAACAAGTTTTCAAGATGATTCTTGCTCCGGACAGTAGTATGCAGGTTTTGGCAGTGCCACCTGCTCCAGAATCGCCAATTTCATCCATATCCTCACATTGCTCGCGAGGATCCAATGTTTCAATGGTATCCTGCATGTCGAGCATGTCCCCTTCTTACAGAGTTGCTCAAGTCCCTCATCTCAACCCTAATATGCCCACGATGGACTCGACTGTCTCCTCGGCCAGGCCTGAGCCTGAACTTAACATAGGTATTTTTTCACCCCATTTTTTCTTTCTAAAAGAACCTTTTCTTTACTTCAACATTTTTTTTTCAATATTTTAACTCAAGTTTTTTGCTTTTTCGTCAACATTTAGATTTACCAACTGATCCCTAAGGTTCGTGGTTAGTGTCATTTGATGATTCACCGACAATTCTAAAAAATAATTTTTTGCATTAAGCTGAATACTCACAGCTTTCTAAGGATAGGAATAGTTTCAACTGAATTATTAAGGAATAATTAAAAAATCCGAAATTGAATCCCTTTTTGGGTAATTCTTCAATTTCAAGAGTAAGACTTTTAAATTACTCTTCGTTGTGTCTAGTCAAATTCTTTGTTGAATTCAAATGAAACTGAAATTTACACCTAGTTATCAGCATCTACTTAATTTTAGAAATTAAATTTCAAAGTTAAATAGCTTTTTGTTAAAAACCAACATAAAAGTTTGGAAAAATTCAGTAGGTTCTGTTAACTAGGTGCAAGTTGTAGCTTCATAAAAAATATTTAAATTTAAATTTCCAAAATTAAGTGAATGACAGTATTAGCTTCATGAATTCAGTTCAATTGTTTGTTGAATTCAAGTGAATTCTTTACCGAATTCAGTCAAATTGTTTACATCATTTAAAATCTTTGTTGAATTCACTACAAAAAATTCTTTAAATACTCAACTATTCAGTAAATAAATCTAAACTCTTTGTTGAATTAAAATTTGTTTAATGGTTTGTTGAATTCGATTAAGTTATTTGTTAAATTCAATCAAACTATTTGATGAATTTGATTTAATTCTTTGTTGAATTCATTCTTAAATGCTTAAATCAATTCTGAAAGTTACTATCTTAGACTATTATGAAAGTAGATTGCACTTCATTTAAAGCTCCTTTAAAGAGATATATGCTTGCAAATTTTTTTCTCCTTTTCATTAACATTTTTATCCAATTAACAAAAATATATTTATTGCTCCAACTTCCAAACAAAGGTAAAAAATAATAAATTTTTTTAAATTCTGAAGTTGAATCATTAACGAAAATACTATTATTACCAGTTTAAACATTAAAATAACAACAACACTGTTTAATGTTCTTAAAATTCTGATTATTGCAACAAGAATTAAAAATAATGAAAATTTAATCAAAAATAGTAACAAAAATGATGAAAAAAAATTTTAAAAAAGTGGTAAAATGATTTTAAAAATAATAAAAATCGCTACTACCAGAGAAAAAAACATTTAAAAATTTCTAATATAAGAAACAAATTGCATTTGCAAAATCTTGCATAGAAGATAAATTTTAAGGGAGAAAATTCTTGTATTACAGTAATGAACGATTTTACTCACGAACAGTATAAATTAGAAAAGCAATGATTGAAACGTTTTTTTTCTAAAAGGAAAATAATGATAATAATCGACAAAACTAGAAATCTTATTCTGAAAGGTCAATAAACCGATCACCAGGAAACTATATCCTTTCTCTATTATTATTTTTTTTATGACGAGATTTTCTTTTCTTTTTCTTTTATTTTTTTTTTTTTGCTTGTGAGTGATGCTGGAAAGTTGAAAAATCGATGATGTCGAACAGAATTGACATTTTTTTCGGTCAAAAATGAGAAGTTAATCAGTGCACTCGAGCAGTGAGCGTGGAGTGAAAGCAGAAAGTTGTAACAGCGATGCTGTAACACGGCGCTGGAGAAAGTGTTCTTCTTTCTCTCCCACTCACTGCAATTTCTTTCTCTCTCACCGACGTTTTATATCATTCCTTATTGTAGATTTATTTAAACTATTTCCATTTTTTACAAAAAAAATATTTCCAAACGGAAAAACGGATTTTTTTCTTGAACGTTCTTTATTGTTAATAAATAAATAGATAAATAAATGAATAGATAAATAAATAAAAAATAGAAAAAAACAAACAATACAACAAAATTGATTTAATGTTTTAAAAAAATTTTAATTTAAAATTTAATTAAATTCAAATTGCAAATTTTTAAATTTGGTTTTCTCCTTTTCTTTTGCAGAATTTGATGGAACCACAGTTCTATGCAGAGTTTGTGGCGACAAAGCCTCTGGTTTTCATTATGGAGTTCATTCCTGTGAAGGATGCAAGGTAAGAGAAAAATTTAATGTATATCATAAATGTTGACTACTTTGTAATTGACTATCGTGTTTCCTTTTTGCGAAAGTTCTTTATATATATATAGATACTTACACTCTTTGACGGTGAAAGCATCGAATTCAAATGCAATTAATTTCATTTTATCTCGTCAAGGAAATAAATCCACACGATAGTTTCTTACGATTTTACAATATTAAAATTTATAATCATCTCATTTTACACTCGAACACTCTTCTACTTTTTCTTTTCTTTGTAATATTAAATCAAAAAAGAAAAATTATCCATGAAATTTCTCTTTGGCAATTTCATTTTTTGATATTTAAAAGTCAAGTGGGAAATTTAAATAAGAAATTAAATAAGATAATAATAATTATATCTTCTAATAATAAGATAATAATAATTTAAATAATTAAATAAATTTAAATAAGAAATTTCAATTATTGAAGAATTATAGGAATTAAATGATTAAATCAGTAAATAATTAAATGATTAAATTAATTAATATTAAATGTTAAAATAATTCATGTTTAAAATAAATCTAAATTATACCTGTATTAGAATTATATTTTGATTGAAAGTATATTTAACTCGATAGTATATATTCAAATCGAAAGTATTTTTATATCGAAAATATATTCAACTCGATATATTTAAATCGAAAGCATTTTTATATCGAAATTATATTTGAATTTAGAATATATTTCAATAAAATGATAATTTAATTAAATTATATTTGCAGTGAGATTATATTCCAATAAAATTAAACCAAAACTATATTTCAATCGAATTATATATAAAAAATTGTATTTAAATAAAAATTTTTGTATGTTTACGAAAATTAGATTGAAAGCAAAATTGCATTTAATTTAGAATTATAATTTAAATAAAATAGAATTATAAAAAAATTATACTAATTGGTATAAAAAATATATTAATTTAAAGTTATATTTAATTGAAAGTTGAAAATTGAATTGAAAATTGAACTGAAAATTGAAAGCAGTAAGCAATAGGAAGTGTAGTTTAAAATTATATTCAATTAAAAGTTACATTTCATTGAAAAATATAATTAATCATAAATTGTAATTAATTGAAATTCTATTTACTTTAAAGTTCGAAAAATTAATTTTAAACTGAAAATTATATTAAATTTAATCGAGAAGTTAAATTAAATCAAAAGGATATTTAATTAAAAATCACATTTAAATCGAAATTGTATATTTAAATCAAAATATTTAAATTGAAATCGTAAATAAATTGAAATTTCAAGTAGATAATATGGTAATTTTTTTTCGTTATTAATTTGAAATTATAATGAAAGTGGAAATTAAAAACAGAATTTAACTGAAATTGACCTAGAATTAAAGCAGTTGGGAATTGATAAATATATACTGTATGTTTTTTTTGCGGGGGGAAACGAAATTCTTTTATAGAAGAGGTGTGTTCGGTATAAAATGAGGTGTTTTCAGAGGTGGCCAGGAAGTGAATGGTGTGTGTATGTGTTTGTGAGACAGTCAAGGTTATTATGTAAAAGTTATCAACCGCTTAGTATATTGACCTTGAGGAAGTCAAAGGCCTCGAAATTTTTTAATTTCTCATCGTGGCAATCGTCTCTTTGCCCAAAGATGACAGTGTAGTTCAAGGATTAGAATTCATTATTCCATTAGCCTCGTGTTCTCTAAAGTATTTTGAAACCGAAAAAAAAATTTTTTTTCCTTTTTTTTTATTGTATTTCTCTCGGACCTTAACAATATTTGAAACGTGAGATCTGATGGACCTTTCCTTTTCAATTTCCGAGTAATTCAGGAATATCAATGGGATCAAGACGGGCGGGAAAATGTCTATTTTTCCTTCTTTTCTTGTATTACAAACGCGTGGGAATTACAGACCGTCGATCATCTTTGTCCGTTTCTGCAAATTGGATTCGAAAAAATATTCAAGTTTTGAAAAAATTTAATTGAACAAATGTTTGAATCGAGAAAATTACAATTTTTGTTATTGGATGGCGAATGACGGACGAATAAAAAAATGGAAATTGGAAAAATTAAAAATTGAATTGAAAAAAACTCCGAATTGCGAATATTTTAGTTTCTCTAAACGAAAAAATTTCAAGCGGGGAAAAAAGCGCTCCCAACATGTAGCGAAAGTGGTCACTGATCCGAAACATGTTCACACGACAGGACGAGGTCTGAAGTTCAATATTTTAGACAATTGACCGGAATTTGTAGACAATAAACCGGAAATCAGAAACTAAATTTAAATATTTTATTCGCATGTGGGTAAACAAAAAAATATACATATAACAGTGCGCTGGTATTATTTTACTTTTTATTTTATTTACTTTTTTTTTTTTTAATGAAAAAAGAAAGAATTTGCAAATAACGAGAGAGTCGAAGGCCGACGAGTCAACGTCCTCGTGGTCTTCGAACTGCGAAGGAAGGTTTCAAAGAGTGGAAAAAGGGTGGGGATTATATTTTCCCCACTTTTGTTCAATTACCCCTTCTCTCTATATAAAATACGCCAACGTTCACACCACCTGGTGTCGCGAATCGTCGATCTCGTTTCTCTCGCAGATTCACCTCGACTTTCTTGCTGCGAACATTATATTGCCCACGCATATTTTTGCAAAAAACATTCTTTTTCACTTTCCTGCAATCGAAAATTTATTTTCTTCGTTTCTTAAAAATATATTTCACTGTTTTTTCTGTTGCATTTTTAAATTTTAATTATTTAATGGTTATTCAATTATTTGTTACAAAATAATTAATTAAATTTGTTTAATTATTTATTATGTAATTTTTATAATTTTTTTGTGGAAAAAATATTTGTTTTGTACAAAAGGAGGATTTTGATTACAAAAATATTTTCAAAGTTTTTTTTTACGGATATCAAATTGAGACAAAAAATCAAAATTGTTGCCTCGCAACAATTTTCACTTTTGTCTCAATTTGATATCCGTAGAAAAACTGTTGAATTTTTTTGTTTTGACACAGGAATATTTTTTTGACCCTAAGGATTTTTTTTTTCGACAAGAATTTTTTTCTGTTTTGCAAACAATTTTACGAAGGAACACTTTTTCTTTTGCAAAATTAAATTTTTAACACAAAAATCGTTTTTTTTCTCTCGACAAAAATTTTTTCGTTTCCCCCAAAAATGAAGGGACTTTTTTCGAAAATTAGAAGGGCAGAAATATTTTTTCCACCTAACCACGTTCGATTATCGTCGGGGTCTCACCTTTTTCACGCCTTTTATTCCCCTCGGCGTTTGCGGGGTTTTTTCCATTATACATTTATAAACTGAACAAGTTTTGACTTTACTGGTTTCGTCGTTGGGACACACAGTTGGAAATGACACTTTCGAAATAAGCATCAATTTTCCGAAGTCCCGCGGTGTGTTATAGAGTAAAGAGAAATTGTGCGACAGGTTGAAAGGGAAGAGAACCCACGAAATCATTCACCCAGTCCGCAAGAAGGGAAAGCATTTTGGCAGAGAGAGTCCCTTTTTGGCGCAGGTACACAATGATAGATCTTGGAATGTTTTTTCAAAAACTGGAAAGAATGAAAGCGGAGAAAAAATAAGGGGAAAAAAAATAGATCGCCCTATATTTTTTTTTGGCTAGCACACCTGGACGTGTGTGTGACGGTTTTCCGTCACGTAAGAGAAATGAAATTCGTGGAAAAACTAATGGGCACCTGGTCCCCTCAGGGTCAGTTGACTGGGTCAGTAACTTATGGTCGCGGCGCCTTAATGGACGTTAAAGCAATAGCCCGTCTGGAGTGACCTAGCCGCAAGCAGTGAAGCGTCTTGGCCGCTGGAAGAGGGGCCCCCGTGGAAAGGGAAGGGAACGCGGAAGAGTATCTTTAAGACTAGGTCGCTCGGTCGCACTACGGTTGTACTATTTTATATAGATATATATATATATATATATATATATATATATAGTTAAGAACATGGCGCTACTTTTCTCGGACGCATCGCGAACTTCTCATGGTCGTCACCAATCCATATTTGGACCGCTACCTCTTGTCCATCCAATTGCTTTTACTCACTCATCCAGGAGTCTGCATTTTCCTTCCCTTCTTGTTTTCTTAATTCTTTTCATGTAAAATTGTCAGAATATACTTTTTTTATTTTTTATTTTAATCGCAGTCGAAATTTTTTACTCCTTTTCGCGTGGTAGTAGTCAGTTTGACTAATTTTCGGTCGGAACTGCCTCGAAATTGTCCGAAAGTTAGTCGATTGGTAGAAAATTACCAATCCCTTTGGTCAGTAATTTTTTAAACTGAATCAGTCGAAATTTTAACTGATCACCATCAACGATTTAATGTTTGCTCTTAAATGCGTTAAAATTTACCTTTTTCCTCTTGGAAAAACACTTTTTTTGTCACTAGAATTTAGATTTATCAGTGTAAATCTAGTGACAAAAAGAAACTAAATTTTAACCGACCTAAAAGCAAAAAGTCAGAAGGCTTAATAGAAATGTCACTGAATCAAATTAAGAGACTATGATAAAATTTATCTATACTCAACAGAACAAAATTTCCAAAGAAAAAAACCGATATATTTTTCCAATATAAACGAAAAAATATAAATTCAATGAAACATGATTTTTTGTGAATAGATTATTATTATTATTGTCGAAAAAAATGAATGGTGGGGGTTTCTTTTTTTTCCCGAATAGTCGAGAAGAAAGAAACAGCATTATATTAACGCAGTTGAAAGAGAAACATTTTCAGATATGTTACGAAAGTCTTATACATGCTGTAGTGCGCATTTTTTCTATAATAAAAAAGAAAGAAAGAAAGAAAGAAAAAAAGAAAAAATAGGTCAAATTGTACAATACTTGACACAAAAAACTGTTGGATTCTTTGAAAGAAATTTTTGACTAACATACTATGTATATATATGGCTATAAAGAGATTAAAAATCATCCACAAAAAACATATTAAGTCGAAATTGTATTCACGATTTTATTTTTACTCGAGTTTCCATGC